TTCTTAAATAAATTTTCTTATTATTTACAACATATTTTTACTTTATCGTCTTGGATTCTAAAATAAATAATATCCACACAAAATGGTAATTTTACTTCCTACTTTCAAGTTTTTATACCCCTATTTTTCTCTGGTTTAATTATGTTGACTAGTATTTCCAGTTCATTGTTAAATAATAACAATACATATTTTTATCTATTTTCTGACTTTAATGGGTCTGTTTCTTTTATTCTATATTTTTACAGCAATATTTATTAGGTGAGATTGGGCTGTAATTTTATTTTATTTTTGTTGCCATTTTGTTGGGTTTTAATATCCATATTATACTGGTCTCATAAGAAGAATTTGCACTTTTGATTTTCTTCCTTTGTTCTGAAACTGCTTAAGCAGCATTGAAATTACCAGTTCCTTAAAAGTTTTCTAGAATTTGCCTAATAAACTATACAAGCCTATTGCTATTTAGTTGTTATTAATAATATTATCGATGACATTTTCTAATTTCTACATGTTACTTGGTCTGTTCAGATTTTCTTTCTGTTCTGACCAGTTTTGGCAATTTATATTTCCTAGAAAAACATCCATTTAGCCAATTATTTACATATAGTTAAGCAAAGTAGCCTTTTATGATTCCTTCACTTCATTTACTGAAAGTTTATATATTTGTGCTTTCTCCCTATTTTCTTGATTAGAGTAATTAACATCTATAGAGTTTATTATTTTTCCCCTAAAGAACCAGTTATTGGTTTGATCTTTTTTTTTTAGTATTACCATTTTCCTGTTTTATAATGCAAAAAATAAGCTTTTACCTTTAGTATTCTTTCCATCTGTTTGCCTTAGTTATATTGTTCTTTTAAATTTCTAGAACTGTATACTTCATTTATTTTCCTTCTTGTTTATTGATTTAACAATATCCCATGGATTTCGATTATATGTGTTGCTGTTACTTTGTAGATTTCCTATACTTTTAAATTTCCTATTTGATCAAAGAGTTAATGAAGAGTTTAAATGCTCTAAATGATGAGGTTTTTAGATTTACAATTATTTAAAACCTAATTTCCATTTTGTGGAAATGCTGTCTGAGAATTTTACCTGCACTATTTCTCCATTTTGCAAATTAGTGAAGTATCATTTCAACCTACTATAAGAGTAACATTTTTGTGATTATTGCATGAGTACTTTAAAGAAGATATATTCTCTGATATAGCATTTGAATATATGTTCATGAAGTCTATCTTTTTAATTATATTATTTTAGTCTTCAATATTCTTATTTTTTTGTACTTGTCAAAGTCTCAGGTAAAAGAATTAAAATCTTCTACCATTAGTATTTTTCTATTTCTCTTTGAATTTCTGTAGTTCATGTTTTATGAATTTATCACTATTATAACTTACCATATATCTATTTATAACTGCTAGGGTTTCATTGTAGTTTACACTTTTATCATTACAAAATATCATGCTTTGTCTTGCTCAATACTTCTTGCCTTAAATTCAACCTTGTTTGATTTTAGAGATACAAATCCCTATTTTTATTTGCCTTTGCTTCAGATGATTTTGTCAATTCTTTTCTACAGGCTTTCAACAACACATTGTTTTACATGGAGCCTTAGGTATAGCCCATGAGCCATTTTTACTTTGAAGTCTAGTTTGGGTGTTTTCTTTTATCTAAACAGAGAGACTGGCCACTTCCAACCAGATTACCGGGCTGTTCTCCTCCCTGCCTCCAACACCAGCTCCCCACCGCCATTTCTGTTCTGCCTTCTGGTGAACTGGAGCGTCAGCCTCTCTCACCAGGCTTCCTATCAGACTGCGAGAAACACCTTCTGAGCCCAAGTCAAAACGTAGGACACTTACTCGAGAACTGAGTGTAAACATGCTACGTGTTTACTCCTCCCTCGTTCTCATGAGCAAGTTTATAGAAACCACACAGTATCAATGTTCACACATCTGTATTTGGGGCTTTTAATTTGTAGATGCCACTGAAATTGACATCATTGACTATTAAATAGAAACTGTTAGATACTATATAATTGTATATTTTAAAAATAAGACACAAGCAACTGTTTTTTCAAGATAACAGCAGTTACTGCAAACTGTGTGTTCTGATGACAGTACATCATGACTGGCTGGGCGTAGTGGCTCACACCTGTAATCCCAACACTTTGGGAGGCCGAGGCAAGCAACTCACGAGGTCAGGAGATCAAGATCATCCTGGCCAACATAGTGAAACCCCACCTCTACTAAAAGTACAAAAATTAGCTGAGCATGGTGGTGTGTGCCGGTAGTCCCAGCTACTCAGGAAGCTGAGGCAGGAGAATTGCTTGAACCCAGGAGGTGGAGGTTGCCGTAAAATGAGATCAGGCCACTGCACTCTGGCCAAGGTGACAGAGTGAGACTCCATCTCGAGAGAAAGAGAGAAAGAGAGAAAGAGAGAGGGAGGGAGGGAGAGAGGGAGGGAGGGAGGGAGGGAGGAAGGAAGGAAGGAAGGAAGGAAGGAAGAAAGGAAAGGAAGAAGGAAGGAACATTATGACTGATTGTCCAAATATCTATTGCTGTGTAACAAACTATTCCAGAACTTAGCAGTAAAAGATAATCATTGTATTATGTTCACAAATTCTGTGGGTTGGAAATTTGGCAAAAGTGAGGTGGGGACAGATTGCTATGGCTTTGTTATGTCTAGAGTCTTGGTTGGCAAGACATGGAGGCTGGGAGCAACCCAGTCATGAGGGACAGGGTCATCTGAAAGCAGCCTTACTCGTGTGCCTGGTAATTGATGGCATCTGTTGGCTGGCACTTCAATTGCACCTATTATCCAGAAAACTCTCATCTGACCTTCGATGTGGCAGAGACTTGCTCAAAGTTTGGCAACCTTGGACTTCTTACATGACAGCTTGGGGCTGCAAAGGCAAGTGTCCCATGAGAACCAGGTAGAGCAGTGTCGCTTTGCATAACCTAACACTGTAGACATTTAGGGTAATTTTTGCCTTATTCCATTGGCCAACCAGTCACTAAAGTGGGTCAACAAAGAACGAAGGCCCAGATTGAAGGGGAAGGATATATAAACCTACCTCTCAATGGCAGAAGCATCAAATCATCTGCAGACATGTTTTATTTTTTATTTTAGTTTTGAGACAGGCTCTCACTCTGTCACCCAGGTTGGAGCACAATGGCATGATCACAGCCCACTACAGCCTCGACCTCCCAAACTCAAGGGATCCTCTCATTTTAGCCTCCCAAGTAGCTGGGACTACAGGCATGCACCACCACACCTGGCTAATTTTTTTAAAACTTTTTTTTTTAAGAGTCAGGGTCTCACCATGTTGCCCAGGCTCGTCTCAAACTCTTGGTACCAAGCAATCCTCCTACCTCGGCCTCCCAAAGTGTTGGGATTGCAGGCATGAGCCACCGGACCCGGCCAGTTGTGGCACTTTGTAAGCAGCAACACCAAAATTTAACAAGTGAACTATGTAAGTTATTGACTAATAACGATTATATAGTTATTCCAATTCCTAAAATATCTATGAAATACAAAGACAGAAATTTTGAATGAAGTCACATAAGCTAGAAGCCCAGAGTCCTCAGGAGAGTATAAATGTTTAACTTTCTGTGAGCCTGGCTGGCTTAGGGCCTTCCTGGCCTGCTCCTCCAGTCTGCCATGGCTTCCGCCTTCCTTAATGGAAGGATTATGTATCTTTTACTAAAAATTACCCTAGAGTGATGCAGTATGTCCTTTCTCCCTGATCCCATGACTGCTACCTTTGCTGCTCTCACACCGGCCTCCCATTCATTGCTCTCACTTTATTTCCCCTACTCCATAATTCATGTGATGGACAATTATCAAACACTGACCGCGTACCAAACTCTTGAGGAGATTCCAAAATGAACAAGGCCGTGAAGATAGTCTTTAATGCTGTCTTTTAGCAGCGTTACTGTTTATCTTTCACGTTTAGGCCTATAATCAATCTGAAAGTGATTTTTGTGTATAGTGTGAGGTAGAGGTCAAGTTCATTTTTTTCTCAAGTGTATATCCAATTGACTCAGCACATTGTTTACTGAAAAGCTCACCTTTTCTTCCAGTGGAACCTTTAAAATGACTATGAAAACAAATGACTACATATTTCTGGGTCTGGATTTTTAATTTTGTTCCAATGATCTATTTGGCTATACTTGAGGCAATATCATTCTGTTTTAGTTACTGTAGCCTGATAATAAGTTTTCATATTTGGTAGTGTTAAGAAAATGTTTTCCTTTTTTGGGATATTTGCTGTTCTTGGACTTTTACTTTTCCATATAAATTTTCAAATTAGCTTGTCACTTTCCACAAAATCTGGGCTTTCTATTGGAACTTTATTCTGTCAGGGATCCTATCTACCCCTTCCAGTCCTAGCTGCCTTGACATCTCCATGCTGTCAAAAAGCTGGGTGAAGTATAGCTTTTATGGTTGTTTCTGACAAGAGGGCCATCTGATACCAGTCACTCCAGTGTAGTCAGAAGCAGAAGCCCTTTGCAAGCTTTCTAAACACAATTCTACACAATAGACGTTCCATGATAAGAAATCTGTATGGCAAACTTTCACTCTGCACACTGTTTAAAATCCTACTGTATAAAACAGGATCCATTCACCTGCAATTGAGAGAAGACATGACCCCTATTGGGTTAAACAAACAAAATATATTGACTCAAACAACTGAAAAATTCAGGAGAAAAATCATCATAAGCAAGATTCCAAACAAAGTTTAACAGGATCCAATTTATCTCCATTTTTGTGTTCCACTTCCTGTTTGTGAAGCCAGTCTCAAACCAGCTCATGACCAAAAGATGGTTGTCAGCAACTCCCAGAACTACACCGTCTCAGGTCCACATCCAGGAGAAAAAGAGTGTCTTTGTTTCAGGACACCTGGGAAAAGTCCTATTGGCTCTAATTGGGTCACTGCCCATTCCTCAGGCAATCACTTTGCCAAAGTAAATTTGATGGATTCATTAGCTCAGGCCCAGGTCACCTTCCTGCTCCTGAGCTCAGGGTAGATTCAGCTCCTCTAGAAGTCCATGGACTGACAGCATTAGTGGAAGTTCCCAAGCAGGAAGCTGGGCATGATTAAATGGATGCCAACAACTAAAAACTCAAAAGTCTGCTTCACAGCCAAATCCAGTGTCTAAATCCACATCACCAAAAGGTACCCATAGGCTTCCTCGTCTGGTCCTCCAAGGTCACTTCCATGATCCTGCTTTTAGAACTGGGACCCCATCCCCTTCACACGGCCATGGACTCCACACTAATGGTCTGCAGGACACACACAGCTATTCCGGTCCTAGCATGTCCCTACCCAAGTGTTCTCTTTCTTCTGTTACCTGAAGTCTTGGCAAGGGTTGGGCAGGAGGAACAGGGGGATGAGCTGGGTTTTATTCCCCGCTTTGCTCTCACTATCTCCTCAGCAGGACAAGAGCAGGATGATCAGGCTGAGCTTCCTAATGCTACCATTTACTGCTATGATTCTGAAAAAGTCACTTTGCCACTCTGAGTCTCATTTCCTCAGCTGCAAATGGGGCTGACGATGTCTATTAATCTTTACCTCTTTCTAGGCAATCTCTCTAAGAAGAAGAGTTCTGTAACATAATGAAGGGAGGATAAGAGGTAACAAGCCTGGAGATGATGTCTTTTTGAATGGCTCTTGAGGCTGCTGGTGATGCTTCTGCCTTAGAAATCTTAAATGTGGAGTTTTTTTTCCCCCAAGCATTTCAATAATGATAAAGGTTAAGTGAAATAGTCTGAAAATGTTTGATAGACTGAAACTCTAAAGAGATGCTGAATTGTATTATGGGTCCCAGACAGATCATTGTAAACCTCTTGTTCCACCAGAAGTGTTGTTTGTGTGTAACACGTGTCAAGGGTTTCCACTCTAGGGAACAAAAGCACAAAAGTTTCACTGAAGCCCTTTGGCCTAATCCTCTTAAGAGCTGTTGAAGCCTCCCTGAATTGATCAGAGGCAGTCAAGTGCCTTCTTAAGACAGGAGGCTCTTTCAAGTTTTCTTACTGCTCCTCGTCCTGACAAACCCACTCAAATTTCCTTGCTACCCCTTCACCATCACCCATACGACACTTGGAGCCAGAGATTTTGCTCAAGGTCGCAGTGGGCAGGAAGTGGCTGGGCAGGGATCTTTCTAGAATCCACTATCCTCCCACAGGGCCAGAAGGAGCTAAGACTGCACAATCACAATGGGTGCATGCTGCAGAGGCCTCTGAAAACACAGGTTTTGACTGGACCTTGCAGGAAGAACAGGACAGTGTCTGAGCAAGAGTTTTGTGTATGAGAAGGAGTGGCAGGTCTGGGAGTGGAATCAGGAAAATCAGCTGCCCCCCCCCGGCACAGGTGCATAACCCAGGACTGAAGTAATAAGACCAAATGCCCTAATGATGTTTGTGATTCAGAGCCTAGCACAGTGCCTCATGTAGTGGCTATTCAGTTGAGTGGATAGGTGGGGTGGAAAGTAACAGATAGATTTAAGAGAAGTCTGGATAGTAGACACATAAAATGTAGGACTGGCTGAAGGATGAGGATAAAAAAGAGTAAACTATGGCTTTAGACACAGAGACATCCGGCAGATGCCAGGGGTGGGGAGGGAGTCCAGATGAAAACCAACTGCGGGTTATGAGGAACAACCACGTGGCTGTGTGGCCACAGATCTTTTCCTCCCCAGATGCAAATACACCCATTAGGAACATACCCTTGGCTGAAAGCCAGTCTGGTTTAGCCCTTGAAACTTTGGGCATCGTTTGCACAGAGCTGTCAGCCTAGGAGGTGAGCTTCATTTTGCCAATAGCTTCTACTGAGACAGAGTTTGTTATTCAAGCATCTAAAAAGCTCTGTTTTGAAGATAAATTTCTTTTCTGCAGATTAGTTCAGCTGATGAATTAGGTAGCCAAAAAACCTCTAAAAAGAAAAAGAAAAAAACCTCAACCCTTAATTCTATAGCTCCCTTTAAAAAGGGGGAGGGGGAAGACACCAAATAAATCCAAGCTCACCGACCTTCCAGCTCAGTTGATTTGCTTGGAACAGACTCACACTCAAGGGTGACTCTTTTCAGGAGCAGCCTCTGGTTTTCTTCCCCACACTGGAAATCTCTGGTCCTTCAGTGTTCTCAGTTCCATAGTGGAAACAGAACACACGCAAAAGTCTCAGCAGGCTGGGCGCGGTGCCTCACACCTATAATCCCAACACTTTGGGAGACTGAGGTGGGAGGATTGCTTGAGCCCAGGAGTTCCAGACCAGCCTGGGCAACATGGTGAAACCCCATCTTTACAAAAAAAAAATGAAATAATTAGCTGCCTTTAGTCCCAGCTACATGGGAACACTCCAGCCTGGGCAACAGAGCGAGACCTTGTCTAAACAAACAAGCAAACACCTGTGAGCAAATGTGTGACTGTGTGCAGCCATAGGCAAAGGGACGGGCAGAGCTTAGAGACGGACTGTAGACAGTGAGGAGTGAGTACAGACAGACCCTTCCCGCCCTACCTGGGAACGGTGGACAGTCTAAGTGGAGGGAGTGCTCAGGGCCTTCCTCCTCAGCGCCTGACAGTACAATCTCACATTTACAGAGCGTTTCCAGTTTTCATCTCACTCGTTCCATTTCCTAGATTGCTGCTGCCAGTCAAAAGCTCCAATCTCACATGTTGCAGGAACCTCTGTGCCAGTCCCCACAAGGAGGTCAGGCTGCTTCTCTGATGAGAAGAAGCTCGCCACCTGGCAAAGCCTCCTGCTTCCATTTTTACAGGTAAACTCTGCCTCCCTTTAGTTTCATTCACTGGCTTAGCTTTGGCCCTGCAGATACTCACATGGATTACATACTTCCTCATCCTCCTCACCATTTATTTCTGTGCAAACCACCATCGTATCAGCCTATGAAATGTTCTCCTTACAGGCCATAAAATCCCTGACATAGACCATGATTTCCCAATCATTTACGCTAGCTCCAGTTTGTCAATAACTTTCTTAAGCGCATGCTTACAGAACCCAATGGTCACCTGGCCATGCACGCAAGCTCAACGTGGTTCCTTGTCCTAGATTCTACACTTGTGTTGGGGGAGCCCACGGCTGTGCTAACTTCTTTGTCAATCCCCATTCATATTGACTTTAGGAGTCAATTTAAACTCCCAAATCTCCTTGAGCCCAAACCTGTGTATTCCCTTTCCCAGATCCTTTCAGCAAGTGAACAAGATGTGCATCAAGAACAAATGCTGTCACTCGTGCAATTTTTGTTAAACCCTAGATACAATGCTGTATTAGTTTCATCTAAATGTTCCTGCCAGTCTCAAGGTCTTCTAGAAAACTTATCTGTCATTTGTCATTATTAGCTACTCTCTCTACCTTCATGGCATTCACAAACTTGATGGGCGAGCTTTTTATTTCTTTATTTCAGCCGCTGGTACGTTGCAATAAAACTTGGCTGTGTATACCAGGGGGGTGAACAGATGTGATCAAATCTGTTTTTACAGATTACAGACCTTATTTGCTGAAAGTCACACAATGGACCTATGTACTGTGGAACTGGCACTACAACTCTGGTCCCTCAAAGCCCAGAGTGCAGATTTTCCCACAGTGCCACGGGGCTGCTGCATGGGATGCTTGTCCCCCAGGCCTGGCCACACTTGAGGGAATACTCATCATCCGCTTGGCAGGTAGGGGCTTCGCACCATTTTCTGGGTGAGCAACTGTGTTTATTACTGTGTGTTGGCTGACAGAGGGCTATAGCTAATAACGAAGTTTTTCTTCACTCACATTCACTTTGACACTTCAAGCGTCTCTGTCCAAACCCAGCTAGACCCTTCCCTCTACACCCACCCAGCTCACCGTGATGGGATGAACATGGTCAAACCTGGGCATTAAGAGACTTGGGTCACAATGCTGGTTCTGCTGTGTTAATTCTTTGACCTTATTGACAAAAGCCATTTAATTTCCCTGAGCCTCAATTTTTTCACCTAAAATAGGGGATCGCACCACCCTACCTTACAGAATTGATCTGAGCATCAAAGAAGGGAATGAATACAAGAGTTGTTGTTTTTATTGGCAAACTCTCCAGTGCTTTGCCAAGGTAGGTATACTGTTATTATCAGATGTGTATGAAGACTCCAAAGTGAGTCCGTGCCACTTAAAATTCTTTTTTAAAGCAGTTCATTGCATCCTAACCTATGTATTCCTTTCTTTCTCTTTTTCTCTTAAAGTTCCAACAAAAACTGAATATGAAGACTGCATGCAGGGATAGCACTGAATACAAATTAACTATTCAATGTTCTTTAGTCCCTCTGGCAGGGAAATGATCCACCTATTAAAACACCCAGTCAGAGCTGGCACGCACAGTGCTGATAACCCCAGCAGGCAATGACCTTGGCACCATTACAAGGGCAATATTTTCAAATGGATGAACTATTCCTGAACAAAGTGTCCAGTGTACTAGGAATAAACAGGCTTTTCATCAACCAAGGCTGTGTGTTTTCTGGTTCCAACAACCTTTCCCAGAGACAGTGCTGGAGAGGAGGGGGCACCAGGAAGCAGCACCTCCCCAGCAGCCTGCCCAGCCTGCTCATCCCTCCTCCAGAATCCTATGACTAGACAGGCCTCCAAACCTCCATCCTGTCTTCTGATGGTTTCATGATTGCTTTTCTATACTTTTACAAAAGGAAAACTCAGTATTGCCCTTGGAGACCCTGGTCAGCCCTCAGCAGGTGAGGATCAGCCCTCCCTGTGGTATAAAACAGGGTCCTGGAGCCTCATGAACAAGAACCTGTGGTGGAGAGTCACATACAACGTCACCAGGTATCTGCAAGGCCAATTCTGTGAGAAGGTGGGTGAATCACCCACGACAGTCCCAAAGGGGCCACACAAGAGGCTTTGACAACAAGATCCTTGAGACAAAAGTCACAAGGAAGAAAGGACTCTGGATCCACCAGAATTGAAGCACATATGCAAAATGTAACTGTAAAAACTTCCTTCTTCACCTAAGCCAAGGAGGCTGCAGCTGGCCCTTTCAGCTGTTTGTTCTTTCATTCGTTCTACAAATGTTTATTGAGCACCTACTGTGTACCTAACACTGTTCTATGTTCTGGAGACACAGAATAAACAAGACAGAATAATAAACAAGGGCTGCTGCCCACCTTACATTCTGGTGGGAGTAGACAAACTAAAAAGCAACTGTCTAGGTTGTGATGAGTGCTAAGAGGCACAGGGAGTGTAGGGCACGAGTGTACATCAGGGAAGGCCATCCCGTTAAGGTAGATTTGACCAGAGGTTTGAAGGCAGTGAGAGAGTGAGCTATGATTATCTGGGCCGGTGTATTCCAGGCAGGAGTGGGATTCAAACAGCAAAGAAGAGGGTGTTACAGGAATGGATTGAGCCAAGGAGAGTCCGGAGAGATGCAGGCAGAGGGGCAACAGGGAGCCTGCAAACCATCTTCAGGACTTTTAATTCCGAGTGATCTGGGAAAATACCAGCGGAGGGGGAGGGTTGGAACAGAAAAGTGAGACAATCTGATTTTTGTGTATGAAGCTCATGCTGCGTGCTTGATTGAGGATAGAAAGAGGGCAGAAAGGAATGTGAGGAGGGAAAGTATGAGGAGGAGAGGGGGACAACCCAAGCAGATGGGAACAGTGGCTCAGACCATGACAGCAGCAGCGTAAGGACGAGCTGAGGGTCTGGATGTTGTTGGGGTAAGACCTGCAGAATTTAATAACAGGATATGGGAAATGAGAAAGACTCAAGGATTAGTCTACAGTTTCTTTTACTGAAGCAGCTGGAAGGATAGAGTTAACATTTACTGGGAAGAGGAAGGTTATGGGTGAAGTAGTTGAAAGGTATCAGGATTACAGTTTTGGGTATGGTTTGGGATATGTTCAGTTTGAGGTAGCTATTAGGCACTAATAGTGGAGATGTCTAGTAGGCTGTGGATTAAGCAAGTCTTGGGTTCAGGCTAGAGATGTAAGCTTGGGAATCATCACTGTAGAGAAGGTATTCAAAGCCAAGGGCGAGGTTGATATTAACAAAGGAGTGGCACTCATAAGTGGGAGCTAAAAATGAGAACACACGGACACAGGGAGGGGAACATCACACACCGGGGCCTGTTGGGGGGTGGGGGGGCAAGGGGAGGGATAGCAGGGGGAAAGGGATTGGGGAGGGATAACATTAGGAGAAATACTTAATGTAGATGATGGGGTGATGGATGCAGCAAACCACCATGGCACGTGTATACCTATGAAACAAACCTGCACGTTCTGCACATGTACCCCAGAACTTAAAGTATAATTAAAAAAAAAAAGTAGTGAGTACTGAGAGATAAGAGATGCAAGGACTAAGTCTTGGGGCAATCTTACACAGAGAGGATATAGCAAAGGATGCTAAACTGAGTTAAAGAACTTTTTCTTAAAAAAAAAAAAAAAAAAAAGCCTAGAGAATATATGAAGACAATTTCTCAAAAAAGAACCACTGATCAACTTTGCCAAATGCTATTTGCTCACACACGATAATAACTAAGAATTGGATTTAGAAATTTGGAGGTCACTGGTGACTTTATGAAGGCAGTCTTATTTCTCCAATGAATAACCCCTGAATCAATAACTCAGTACAATAAAAAGCTTACATCTCGCTCAGCTCACAGTCCAATTGCGTATATGGCAGGTGGCCTTCTTTGTGATTTGGGGGCCAGGTTCTTTCCATCTTCATTGCACACCTCCATGGTCCCCTTGGAAAGGGAAGGGGTGGCCTGTACAGAAGCCCACCTGAGCTGTGGTGCTTCAGCCTGAAGCTGGCATGTTGACCCCACTGGAGTTCCCATGACAAGAACTAGTCACAAGGCCTCATTTAGAGGCAAAGTAACTGGGAAATGTCATTTGGTTGTGTGCCCTGGAAGAGGAAGTGGTTTGGTGACCATCTAGCCAGTTTCTCTCACAATGACCTTGGCAAGAACCCTTTTGGAAGAGGCTGCAAACCAAAGACTGATTGAAGGGAGTTCAAGAGAAAAAAGGGAAGTAGAGAAATGGGGTGGGAGCTAAAGAACTTGGGGTCTAGACAGGTGGTCTGTTTCTGCCTTGTTTGTATGATAATGGAAATGGTCCTGTAAAGAAGAGACAACTGCTGGAGGGATGCCCTTGAGTAGGTGACAGAGAAAGGGCTCTAGCTCAGTGCCATGCATAAGAATGCCTTGGAGGGCCCAGTGAAACAGATTCTGGGACCCTACCTCAGACATTCTTTTTTTTTTTTTGACAGAGTCGTGCTCTGTTGTCCAGGCTGGAATGCAGTGGCAAAATCTTGGCTCACTGCAACCTTCGCTTCCCAGGTTCAAGTGATTCTCATGTCTCAGCCTCCCAAGCAGATGGGATTATAAGTGCATACCACCACGCCAGGCTAATCTTTGTATTTGTAATAGAGATGCAGTTTTACCACGTTGGTCAGGCTGATCTCAAACTCCTGACCTCAATGATCCACCCACCTCAGCCTCCCAAAGTGCTGGGATTACAGGCATGAGCCACCATATCTGGCTCCCCCTAGACATTTTGATACAGCAGGTCTGGAGTAGGGCTGGACAAGCTGCATTTTCTCACCATCCTCCAGGTGATGCTGATGCAGTCAAGATTCAGGCCCACACTTTGAGTATTGCTGACAGGCACTTGGGAAATTCATTCCCTGTTCAAGGTGGGAAGGCAGGGTGGGTAGGCACAGACAGACGTGGGAGTGTGGGTGGGGGTGGGAAGATGGGAACTTGGCAGCCAATTATTTTACTATCTCAGTGAATTTGGAAGCAAGGTCATGAGGTGAGGGTGAGGATAGGGGAGGAAGTGTTATGAGTTTGAGAGGGGAGAAAATATGAAATCACAGTCTTGGAGAGTGTGAGAATAAGTGGTGCCCGGAAATGAAACAGGAGTGCCAGCCAAGCGCCAGGACCCACCTGCAGCTAGTGAGGCTGAACTTTGAGTGAGACCAGGCAGCTGCACGCAGCCAGGCAGGTGCACACAGTGGGCAGAGGGTAGGATCAGCCAGGACTGTGGCCTTGCCAGGCAGGTACAACAAAGGAAAGGAGGTCAAGGGAGTTGACTGTGTATTAATGGGAGGGATGAAGGCCCCAGGCTGCAGCACCTGAGTGGGTACAGAGGGCAGGGAGGACTTGCAGGTGGGAGTGAGGAACAGTGAAAAGATGGCAGGATCAATCAGTTGTGGGCCCCACTAAAGCTGAGGAATCATTGGAGAGAGAAGACTGAGTGGGACGGGAACCGTGTTGGGTGTTAGGAGTGGGGGACATTTGAAGTCAAGATGGTACAGACAGCACGACTGGGAGTAACGACAGAGTCAGGAGCATGGCTATGGGAGTGAGTGGTTGAGATGCTATAAAGGAGAAGACTGTGGAGAAGAGCAAGGAGAACCAGGAGGCTGAGTACGGGAAGGATGGTGTCTGTGAATTATGAAATTACCAAGGCTCATTATCAAGAGTATTATTGGAAAGAATGCTGAGAGCTGTTGTTTTCAAACCCTCCTTCCAGAACCTGGTGCTCTAAGGAGGGGAAGAAGTTCTGAAGTATCAGCTCTTAGCCTCCAAGCAAAATTATCCCCTGAGTCTCCTTCAAGTGCTAATTGCAAAATAAACAGAAAGCCAGCAGGGGCTGCCTGGGAAGAAGTGGAAACAGCAGAGGAGCATCCCCTCCCTGGCCGGTGTTTGCCTCCAAAGAGCCCAGCTTCCCCGCTGCTCTCCCTGCTTAATCTGAAGAATTAAAAGTGGTGGCAAGTGGATGGGGGCCCTGAGGTGACTCATCGCAGCCAGCCAGCTCTCGGTAAGTTTCTGGACGCATTTTATGTGGAA